TGCTGCTGCTGCTGCTGCTGCTGCTGCTGCTGCTGCTGCTGCTGCTGCTGCTGCTGCTGCTACTGCTGCTGCTGCTGCTGCTGCTGCTGCTGCTGCTGCTGCTGCTGCTGCTGCTGCTGCTGCTACTGCTGCTGCTGCTGCTGCTGCTGCTGCTGCTGCTGCTGCTGCTGCTACTACTGCTGCTGCTGCTGGTGCTACTGCTACTGCTACTGCTACTACGTATGTCTCCGCCAAAATTACTCCGACAAAAGAAAATATTATTATATTGTTATTATTTATATTTATTATTATGTTATACTATCATTACATTTGTCTTTTTCATGATTTGCGAGATAGGTAGAGTTGTTTGTTCGCGTGGTCCACGCCGTTTGGCGCGACCGTGCGTTTGTAAGCGGTCGGTGGGTAACAGACAGAAAGATAGGAGGTGCACGCGTGACTCACCGCTGAACCTCTATGGTCCCCAGGGTTTCGTAGGCAAACTCGCACCGATCATCGATCTCGAGTGCCTTGTTTATGAGCTTTGCTGCAGCCTCTATGTCCTGCTTCCACTGCAGCATGAGCAACCTGCGAAATCACGTGATAAAATGTACATCCGCACAGTGGTGAGAACAGGGGGACAACCAGCCGCGGCTAGCCGTCTTCTGTGTCGAATGTATACACACACGTACAGTAGATAGTCAGACGTATGCCGAAACGCGCACACTTAAATAATAATGCAACTATAGTTTTAATTAACAAATTCTTCAATCCAAACGTAAATGCTGCCAAGGCAAATAAAAAGTTAAAAAGGCACTCGTTACACAGAAGACAAGCAACACGGATTGAGAGCGATTCATACTAACGAGTAACGAGGAGCGCAATTATCGGAATTTGTCGTACATACAATGACAGCAACGTGCGCACGCTATTGAACTTACCCTCTGTGAACATAAACGTTAGCATTTTCAGGTTCAATGTCTAGCGCCTTCTTGAAATAGTCGTCGGCCTTCCCGAAATCGTTTTGGTCGTAGAGGGCCTATGTGAAACAAAACGTAAGTGAACAATTCATACATCTGTAGACTATGTAACTAACAATTAGCATTATCAAAGCCCACACACAATGGGCTTCATTTTTCGGGCTCCTAGTGTTGTAGCGTATCGGCGGCAGGCATCAGTAGAGTCATAACTGTTAATTGCATTTAATGGATACACACCTGTCCATAGAGTGCGAAGCCTTCTGCACAGGTGGGGAATCTTACTAGCACCTCATTAAAATCTTTCATGGCCTCCTCTACCTGCAACATAAAAATACGCCCATCAATAAAAAATTGTAACACTATATATACAGAAATTGAAAGAGACGTTGAACTGCAACATGACACAATGCACCAGGTCACCACTCATAGTGTTGGGCCATGTTCTCAAAAGATTGTTTTCAGCTAACTTGCTCAATTTCAATAGACAGCTCACACAACTCATAATCGCTACAGATTATCACCAGGTGAGCGACTAATAATAGTAAACGCCATTACTAGCATTAGCCAAGTCAGACCTTCATGTGAGGACTATCTAAAGCATAATCACAGGTTTATTTGAGCATATTTCAAAACTTGTATCATGCTTTATCTATTATACTCCGGTTCCTATGCTGTTTTCTAATTATCTTCCGAAAATTATTCAAACAGATCAACACGATCCCTACCAGAGACAGCAGAAAGCTTGGGTACGTTGTCAAAAACAGACAAACGTAGCACCGAGATGTCGTAACTATTGCACAAGACACACATTCAAAAAATTACGACATCTTAGACATAACGCCGTCGCATCTATTTACCACGTTTCTCACAGTCACAACGACCCACCTGCGTGGTCGTATACATGGAGGCACACAGCTGAATATGGCTACTACTTACAAACGTACTTTAGGTTATTACGTAAGACACATCACATTACGCACCTTGTGTGGAGTCTTCGTCATGAGTGCGTAGCGGTACTTTGTGTAGCACATCTGCACGTGAGCGACCGGGAAGTCGCCCTTCAGCTCCACACACATATTGAAGTCGCTGAGAGCTTCCTTGCACTTATCCATCAGTAGATTCAGCTGCATATATATACGCAATATAACGTCATCCGCCGCTCATTTTCGCAGTATGAGCGTTTCAGCAGATTTGTTATGCTAACTACCGCAATCGAAATTATGCCGACAGAACCAGAGGAGTTTGCGTCCGATTCCGAGAAGATAGAATCGCAGCATTCGATAAGGGTGAATGAATTGTTAGCAATCGCCGCTAACATCAGAGCTCAGCAGTGTCAAGAGATATGCTTGTCAAACTCGTAGAGAGAAATACTGCAGGTCTACGTGCTGTAGAGGTGCAGGTCTTCGCTTCACACGCTTCTAGCTTAAAATTATATACAGTTGTGCCTGGTGAACTCCGCTGTTCTGTACGCGGTTTACGAACCTGGCCCCTGTGGTGGTAGACGTCGGAGTTGACGCTGTCGATCTCTCCTGCGAGAGCAAAGTCACTTAGGGCTCCATCCTGGTCACCCTGCTGCATCTTCAGGCTGCCTCGCTTAATCAATGCATTTGTCTTCACCTGCAAGCAAAACACGTTAGCACTTGGACACCGAAAAATATAATTGCGATTTCGAACAGTACGTTATCATTGGACGGCTACGACCGTTTCCAAGCCAACGCATTTTCCTCCAGATCGCGAATCGCTGCGTTACTATCTTTCGCGACACGGCTCTCTCGTCATCCACCCACCCACCGCACCGAAAAACCAATCTCGCATTGCTACAGCTGCCGTAACGTCGCCCATGCGCTGCCACGTCGATGCCGCGCGCCACTCACCCTATCGCTGCCACGTCGATGCCGCGCGCTACTCACCCTATCGCTGGCGCCGTCGATCGCCATAAGCTCGTTGAAGTCTTTCATCGCCTTGTCACTCTGGCCGAGCAGCAGGTAGAAGGTGGCGCGCAGCAGCAGTGCCTCAGGCCGGTGCTGCGAGTCGGCGCGGGCCAGCTCTGCACTGCACTCGTCAATGATGTGCTCGTACTGGTGGCCGCGCAGCAGCTGCTTAGCCTTCTCGTAGCCACTGCCGGAGAGACAAGACAAGCGAGCGCGTGTTACGACACGTTCGCGTTTCCCTCGAGTGAGCGCGTGTAACGACACGTTCGCGTTTCCCCCGAGGGAGCGCGTGTAACGACACGTTCGCGTTTCCCCCGAGGGAGCGCGTGTAACGACACGTTCGCGTTTCCCTCGAGGGAGCGACAATTTATTAACTCCTCGACCTTCAATTGTACAGGTCACGTTGAACCGTGTTCACGTGCGCATTACGTTACATACAACATGCGTAAACACGGCGAGACTGAGCGAATATGACTGCAACACGCTAGTGGACCCACAAACAGCATTACATCTCCTGATCACGCGACACAAAAATCATTTCATTTCGAGAGCGAAACTAAAGAGTCTAACAATAACTGACGACATTCTATAAATTGTAGTTATGGGAATCCTCCAATATATAATGCAAGTTTTTTCGAGTTCCGAGGCGAGTTTCGAGCGTTGCCGAGGGAAACCGCTGCGAGGCGGTCGCTGTACGCACCTAACTTCATCACTCTCGTCACGGTCCTTCTCATTCTCCTCAGCCTTGATGGAATTGAACACCGGATCCTCGGCGAACGCAGAGAAGTACGACTTGATGAACTGCTGCGACGGCATCACGGGAGTCCTATTCTGCTCGCGGAAAAATTCGAGATTGAGTCCAATTGAACTATCTATCCATCTGATGTATAGAACCACATCTCCCCCACCCACCTTCCACCCTAAAGCCCGGCGCACATGTGGCGATTTTTATCGACAGTACTGGCGATTATGTTGCTTGCAACAAAATCGCCGAGAAATCGCCACGTGTGCGCTGCATGGCGTCACCGATTTTGCCAGAAACTCGTCGCGGGAATATCAAACATGTTTGATATTTGTTGCCGAGTCGCTGAACAATCGCTACGTGTGCGCTGACCAGGCGACGGATTCAGGCAACAGTTTTTGGATTAACCAATCAAATGCATGATTTGAAGCACGTGATCAAATATTGGCAGCGCCCGTGATGTGGTTTGAACAGGTCACGTACAGTTCATACAGTGGTATGTCGCTGACAGATGGTTGCATTGTCGCCGGGTGACGCACCTGTGCCGATTTTTATCGACGGTACTGTCGATAAAAATCGCCACGTGTGCACCGGGCTTTAGATATTGTTGTTAGGTCAGTCAAGTTAGGCCAGTTTTCTATGTGTATTCTACGTACACTTTTTACGCATTGTTTCTTAGAATGTCCTACCACAACACTGAGATTGGTTACTTGGCTGCCTGCCGCCAGACGGACAAGTCAATTCAACAGTGTCAACATTTGAATCAATTGAATTGGAGATCATTCCAAGATTACATTAATTTCATATTGAGGAATTATTGCACACTTCTACAAAAACAACTTCATTCAATAGTGTGTATCTAACTAAACACCTGGATCCGTTATCCAAGTATAGGTTTCAAACTTAGATTATTTGTACTAAAAGATTATTACAAAGATTATTTGTAGCAACTATCTAAAGTTTGTTTTGTGAAGCTAGATGTAGTTACACAAACACAAATATGCAGTACAGCTATATATTTGCCAACCAGTTTCAGGTGATGTGGCATAAACATGCACGCTTGTATTATGTGGTACATGTACATGGTTCATACAGGACTGAAATTTTTCCCAAGGACTTTTCAAGGACTTTTCAATGACATTTTATCAGACATTTTATCGGAATTCATACACAGAACAAAACATACCTGGATTAATTTAATAACCCCATTCTTAATCACTGCATGTCACCTCTAAAACTTACCTGGATCACATTAATAAACCCTTCTAAACACTGTCACTTCTACAACATACCTTGATTTACTGACCAATTTTACTGACTTACTGTAATTTGTGATCATCATTTAACTGTCCATCGTGTCTATAGCTTTTTAAGCTCATTTAACGCAATTTTTATTGAGGTTTGCACATTATTGATGGTACAAAATTTCTTTTTATTAAAGGCAAAGATTCTTTCTAAAATTTCAAGGACATTTTCATGAAATTCAAGGACATTTTCATGAAATTCAAGCACTTTTCAAGCACAAAATCAACATTTACTAAATTCAAGTACTTTTCAAGCACAAAATCAACATTTACTAAATTCAAGTACTTTTCAAGGACTGCCCTCAAATTCAAGTACTTTTCAAGGACTGCCCTCAAATTCAAGGACTTTTCAAGGACTGTGCGAACCATGATGTACTTAGAATTGTTTCCGCACCTTAAAAGCCTCTTTTGCTCGCTGCTTGCCTAGTTCCTTTAGCACTCTATCTGCCATCACGAGGGAATTATGGTTCTGAAAGTCTTCGAGTATACACACTGCTGTAATATCTGAAAGGAGAATAAAATTTATATGATGAAGAACACGACACATTGCACTCAGTGCTTGTGAGTATACAATGCCCGGACGAATTATGCATTTGAATATATTGCATTATTTGCATACGATTATAATAGTAACAGCCCTCCTATATGTACATCAGGAGTAGATCATCATCCTGGAGTGAGAGTGGCTAATCCAATCCTAACTATATAATTATGTATCACACTACCCATTTCAAACCATTAAATGTGACTCTATTAGATATTAGGGTTCAACCTTTACACTTTTACAGTGCCGATACACTAAGGTCAGGGTGCTAGCAAGGGTTACAGCACTATAGACCGAAGGCCTGATAGACCAGGTTTATTCGAATATATTCAGTGGCTACACGTCCGGAATCGGTCGCCTAGCATCCAGGCTACGCATCCGGACATCCACTGATGCCGTATTCGAACGTGAATATGCCGCACATCCACCGATGCCACTATAAATCATATGATGCCACTATAAACCAGATATATATGCCCTAACCCTAACTGTAACCCTAACTGTAACTATAACCCTAACCCTTTGCAATATTCGGTCTATAGGGCTGCCCCCGCTAGCAAGTATTTTGCATGTTGTCTCTCATCCGACAGGACATACAATAACCACATACTGATGTCACTAACCTATGTAAAGAATATCATGAACATATAACTATAATTCTACAGATGACTTAAAGCATATTATGATAATGTGTAGTTCTAAAATGTGTTCTATATGTTAAGTATCGTACCATAGTATATTAGTATAAGGAGTTTACCTTCCAAACACTGCGGCAATGAGTTAAGTTGTTCAGAAGCTTTAGCTCGTCTAAATAAAGCTTTGGTGTATTTGCCATTGAGCTCCACTGCATTATTACAATCCTCAATGACTTTTGCATAGTTTTTCTGAAAGAGTAAGTCTACAAGTTATCAAAACATGAACAAACAAACAGACAATAGATAAAACACAAATTATAGCAATCCATAAAATTAAAAGATTTGTTCTAAATGATAGAATGCTCCTTCACATACACGCACGCACGCCCACACACACACACACACACACACACACACGTATGCACGCACGCACACGTACACACTCACACATACACACACATACATACAAATGCACATGCACACACAAATGTAAATAAACGTCCAGACACATGGACATAACTGGTTTAAATGTACATCTCATATACCAGTTGCTCAAATGCTGCAGCCCTGTTTTGATAAAATGTTGCCAGTTCTGACTTGTTCTCTTTTGGGCAGACAGATATCGCAGAGGTGTAGCAATCAATGGCTTTATCAAATCGGCCAGATTTAAAAAACACATTTCCCTTGTTCTTTGCTGCCTGAGCTTTCTCTGTTGGATCCTGGAAAATAGCAGCAGAAATGGTAAATCTCGATAATAAATCAACTTATTAATGCAAATGTGTGGGGCCATTTAGCCATGCCCTAATTTTGAAAAAATTATAGTTATATACCATGGATGGGCAGACCGATGCTTGCCATTCTACAAGAAACATCTGACAGTGTCGTATTGGAAAAATATTAAAGGGAGAGTTTACTCTAGGTTCTAGGGTTATTTTCAGCTAATTTAGGTTATAATTACGCTACATAAAAAGTTTCATGGTTCAATCACCTTTAGAAATATTATTAAAAAATGTTTTAAAACTAACGACTTCAGTTTGATTACAGCGACGGTGGCGCCACTCAAAGCGCACGATCTGATAAGTTGCGCAAAACCACTTTCCAGCCAAGGGCTACAGACCGAGGGTGTTTCTTATTTATTCATTTAAAAGCAAAAGGATTGTAATATCTTATAAACGACATATAGTTTCAGTTATAATATGGATAAATTTGCCCCAAAATGAATATCGTTCGGTTAAATAGTATCTATGTATAAATATAATTGCACTTTTGTGATTAGCCCTCGGTCTGTAACGTGCAAAATAAATTGTCAAATACGCAACTTTTTCGGGGTGGCAGCACGGTCGCGGGTGTCGTGGCGCCGTTCAAATTTCGTAGCGTTGATGTGTAATTAATTATAACAATTAAATTAGGTATCTGGTAACAAATACTTGTGGGTATAGACGATTTGTTATACAGTAAGTACAGTTGTATGCAGTAAAATCCTAGAGGCTACTGTCCCTTTAAAGTATTGTTAGTGCTCAAGCCTGTTTATGTATTGTTTAAAAGATCGCTTTAAGTTTGGCTTATTCGTTTTTGCAGCCCAATAATAGTTTCGCACCCCGGATATGCAAATACACATTTGTGGGGTCTCAAACTAGGATTGAGCAGTTTTTGCTGTTCCCATCCTTGTAAAGTTGTAACTTTTTCTATTGCAATCTGCAGTTTTGATCTATCGATTTGAACTTTTGTCTCCCTTTTTCTGTCTTCAATATATCCCTTTGGACTTTGAATACCAATTCTAATGAGGTTACGAAGTTTGTCACATGGTCCAATTACTTAACCATGACAGGGTTCGACACTAACCCACGTCCGACCGACCTAGTCGGGTAAATGCTTGGTCCGGTCGCATACAACCAGAGTGCTAGTAGCCCGACTGGTCGTGTTAGAATTGGTCATATATATTGCACTGAAAGGTCACCTCTGGCTAGACTGGTTCGCGGCCGCACTGTTTGTCGCAGAGCATGTACATTGTCTAGCACAGCGTGACCCCGGATACCAGTCTACCCTTCGGTAAAAACAATAACGTGGCTTGCTGCCAGCCGCAGTAGACGATCGATAAACCGTGCGCTCGTGTATGCCCGTGGTAGAATACGAATGCTGCACGTGAACTCAGCCCACGCGCGATTTAAAGCGCGGGAAACAGCATCTATGAATTCATACGATGACACACTCTTAGTCTTATCCAGGGTTCTCCCTACGTTGCGCAAACGGGGCGCACGCGCCCCGTTTGGGAAAACTCCCCCCTGTTTGAATCGTTGCGCCCCGTTTGAAATACCTCCGCCCCGTTTAAATTCCACCACAATAACAGTTTGCCAGCGCGGGAATCGGTCGTCAAGAATTGCCGTTCGACCAGGACATCCGACGCGTGTATTTTTACCGTACAACGCATGCACTGCAGACTACTGCAGACAGTACACAAGTTAACCTGACAATGCACAGTTAACCTGTCACTAACTGTACACCGACTCGGCTATCTTATATATACAAGAACCCCAAAT